CTTGGCCCCAGGGCCAGCACAATGTCCCCAGCCTGTTTAATTCACCCCTCGGGAGGCGCCACAGGGGACTGCGCCGGGACCGAGCCTGGCCGTCCAGTTCCACCCCATCACCTGAAGAACATTACACAGCCACATCAAATAAACATTTTCGGTAACAGATCCCTAATCCTATTCGGTTGAACGCAGCTCAAAAAAAAAAAAATATTGTTTTAATGACAGCCTAATCAAACCAGAGCCATGCAATTAGAAGAATCATCCTCACAACTGAACCTTTCAGAGAACAGCATGCTACGGGCTGGCTCACCTCTCTAGCAACAGGAGAGACGTCAAGAAGACAGCAGCCAGGCAATGTCTGTCTGTCAGGAAGTTTCCATCTCCCAGCAGTGCCCTCATCAGAAATTACATAAGAACCCAATGCCTTGAGGGAGGAAATGCCATTAACAACATGCCTACAGGCTATTTTCAGGCTCAGTGGGGTATTGAACAAGGTGAGGCCTTTCAGATTAGGACTGAAAGATAATGAATGCATATTACTCATTTTTCCGACTTCACTATCATGAAGATACAGCCGACTTAATTCCTTCATGCCCCTCCCAAAACACTGGACCTGAAACATGCTGTATCTGAAATAATGATGAAAATTCATCCTTCAGAAAAATGTCATTTATTACCACCTAGGATTATAAACCATCATACGCAGGCCAGCTCAGTCCTGGAAGAAAGAGAAGTCAATTCACCGACCAGCCAGGGGCTGACCCTGGCCCTCACGGCTGCAGGGCGATCACGCAGAACTCGGAGCTGCCCACAGCAGCTGTGAAGCACCAGGCGCTCTGAGCCCTTCCACACAGCACCGTCTGTTCACACACCTACCAGAACTGGACTTACTGCAAATCACCATTAGGCTTCAATTTTGGATAAGGCTGTTCTAAGCAGCACTGCAGAATTTTTCTGTTTCTGGCTCGCTGTCTCATTTTATCTCCTGCACATACAGAGCTCAGAAGGCCAAATGCGAAACTGCAGATTAAAGTTCGACTTCTGCTCCATGAACTGAAAGATTAAATAGTAGATTAACAGTAGATAAAAACTAGGAACTGGAAAACGTGTACCAAATATCCACAGAAAAACCTTCCGAGTAAGTTTGGGGAGAGGAGAAGCAGCAGGTGCCTTCTGGTTTAACCATTTACAGAGACATATGAAGCAATCCATTGCTCAGTAGAAACAATAAATCATTACTGGCTTACAATATGTAAGCTGTCATACAGACTTCTCCTGTTGTTTATTTATGTCATTTAAAACATGTACAAAATGCCCGCAAGAAACAGTTTTATCATTTTCTCTGCACAGCAAAGATTTTTTTTTCAAATTACAGCCCTTAAGAAAAATCCATTTCAATACTGAAAAATCTTGAATTCACATGTAGCTAACCACGTTATCATCACCCTTTCTACTCATTTATAAAGGAAGGCACACCTCAAACACTGAATCTCCTGGTATCAGGCCTTCTCACCAAACAGCAAGGTAGACATGGGAAAAACACTCACCTTTTTATCAAAAAGGGCAAAAATTCAGTGAGCCACTGGTTCCTAGTAAAAAAATGAATATACGCAGTCGGAAGAGTTTCCTCCATGAAGAAATCATACTTTATTGAAAATATATATTGCTCCTAAGGAATACAATTACACAAGCCTAAAGACAAATCACCTTTGGTTTCACACCTTCACAAAGTATTATTATTATTTACCTGGCGTGCATGGAGCTCCAGCACAACACCAAGTGAATCAATATTCATAATGTAATTATTTCAGAGTTATATATTTTAAGTGAAAAAACAATACCGCAAATGCCCCACATTATTTAGTCTACAGCCCATTTCACTGAACTATGACCAGATCTTCTACCTTGCTTACAACAGAATTTGACCAACAGTTTGTCGACATTCAAGTCTCAGATTTTTTGAAGTGGAAACAAAACACTCAGTATTCAGGTAACTTCTTCATGATAAGCTCTCTTCTTTGATTCACCTCTCAGAGATGCAGGAAAAGAAAAATGCAAAGACTGCATAAAAGCCTATGTGTTCAGCTTTAAAAGGAGAATTTCAGATAACCAAAGAAAATATCCAGGTATTTGTTATAATACTACTAATGAAATACCGTATGCCCACAGGGTACAAAAAACTCCAGTGACACTAATTGTTTAAGTAAGAAATACTGTTGTGCTAACAACATATTGTATGCGACATACTGCATTCCAAACGGTCACAGAAAGTACTTTGCCAACCACTGGCACAATTCCACGACACCCACATTTTATTTACTCAACCAAATGTTCATACACAAACACAATTTGCGCGTTAATGCATTTGCTCTACTCGACACAGGCTCGCAGACCCGGGCTGGATCTCGGGCTGTTTACGCCCGATGGGGAAGGCCAAGGGAGACCTTGGGGGACGGGACGTGAGGGGACGGGAGGGGAGGTGGCTTTCAGCAGCACACAGCAACACAGGAGTTTTCTGCTGGTTTGTAACCACGATTTCCACAGAAAAATGCAATTTGGGGGCTGACTTACACTTCAGTTAAGTACCAGTGTAAATAGTTCTGCTCTTACAATAGCTCTCCCGGGATTCTCTACTAAGCGCAAACCATGAACACCTCTGCTTTCATCACTCAGACAAAATGTATTTCCTGGAGCAATTTATTGGCTCTGGCACTGAATCTAACGAATCACCAACATTACGTATTATTTGAAGTTTTGGGGGACAAAGCAATGCAGTAATGATGAAAATCTATTATTTCCTGGAATCAACTATCAGGTTAAACAATTCTAAAATACTCCTATCAAAAGTATGAATAACTACATGACTGAAATAATTTAAAAAAAAAACTATTACCGTGAATAGTTGGATCCAGTAATTACTCTAGACTTGTATTATCTTAGAGAGTGCAAACAGAAACGTATGCATTAGGAAGCCTGACTAATGATGGAAAGTTCAAAACAAAATTTCTGTTGAACTGCAGCAATATTTCATTGCAAGCATTAGGCTCCCAATTACAGCTTCAAAGGCTTGCTGCAGTTAAAAAGAAATTAGTATTATTGTCAGTAAACCATTAATTACTTTGTATCTCTAGTAGTTTCCTAAATGGCTTGTAAATTAGCATGTATTTTTAATCACACTGTGAAAACTGTGTCACTATTGAGCAAAATATGAGTTACAAAAGACACGTCCACCAAACTGTATTTATTATATACAATGTCATTAAGACTCATGAGTCAAAGATAAGACTACAAAGAGCACAGACCGTAAGGGGGAATCTACTGTAACACAACAAAAAGGTTTCCCAACTTCAATTCCTTTTTTCCAGTTCAGAAAGCTAGGAATTCTCCCTTAGCAGATAAATTACTCATAAGGAATGGGAGACAAGAAAACTTACTGGGTAATATGTGAGGGTTCCCAGCTTTGCTAAGAATCGCTCATTCTTCTGACTTAAAATAAAAAATGTTTGCTTAATGTCTATAGCACTTTTCAATGTAATCAGGGTGATGCACTTTTTCACTGGGCTCATGAAACAATCAACTGATAGGATTCATCACTAACACTACATTAGCAAGCAGGTAAAAAAGGGGAAAACAGTATTCAAAAAACCTGTAAATCTTCACCTGTTGTAACTAAACCTCACATCTTTACAGCTGACCTAGGATCCAGGAACAACCTCTCAATGAGGTCAGTAGAGTTGTCAACAATGAAAACTCAAGGCAAAAGAGCAAAAGTATAGTTCCAAGAACTGTATAGTTCCAAGAAAACAGACCGTGTTCCTTACTAGAGTAAGTTGAGAACGTAAGGGAGGATCAAACAGACCTTTGTGTTGCACGTTACTCTGATTAAGTCTGTTATCACACACATCACAGAAAAGTCTCAAACTGATAAAGCAGCAGTGACATATTCATCTTTTTTTCTTTAATCTTCTCTGTCAGTGGCTTACAATCATGAAAAATTATGGATTTTTTGTAACTTTTTTAACTTCCTAAGTTATTTTTTTCGGTTGCTCCTATAGTGCTTCTAAAGCTACCTTCTTATTGTAAGGTTTGTGCACAACGAGATCAAGACAAGCCCTCCTTTCACTTTCATTTGTTTGTATTTGGTACCTGTAGCCTCAGCAGACCCCCAATCCAGGAAGACAGATGAAGTCCACAGGTCAAAAATCACGATATCCAGGGCAAAGAACCGCGGCAGGAAAAGCTTTCAGCGGCGCGACCTCCCGCCAGCGCATGATCGCACGCAGCGAGGGGCCGCAGCGAGTCCTCGCGGGACCCCAACCCCGCTCAGCCCACGCGCTCCAGCAAACCACCCAGCTCCGGCACGCGCAGCAGACCGGACCCCCCCCAGTTCGCGTGCAATTAGGGTCCTGTCCCTAATTACGTTACCCAACGGGCGATGTGACTCCTGCCGCTCCCCGTGGAGCCGCGACCCCCGGCTCAGGGCGGTGATCTCCCCACGCGCGGCCCGAAGGCACCGGCCACGGGCAAACCCAGCCCTTCGGCCCCCCCCCCCCCCCAGCTCAGCGCCCCACCAGCCTTCGGGGGGCTCCACGCGCGAACACGCTCTCTGCAATCCGCGCGGCCGAGCTCGCCTTCCCGTAAAACCCCGGGCTGCGCTCAGCAACCCAGGGGCCACGGCCGAGCGCCGGTGGGCAGGGGCAGAGCTCCGGCGCGGGCTGGGCGCCTTCCCTCTGAACTAAACACCGCTTAGAACAACGCCCTCAGCGCCAGGACCTTCGCGGGCCGGTGCTATTTAAAACAAGCACATAAAATAAGAGCGGAGGGCGCAGGCGGCAGGGGCCTTCTCCCGGCCTGGCGGGCCCCTTGTCGCAGGGCCGGGGCCGCAGCGGCCCAGCGCCGACAGCCGGCGGGGCCCCGCGGCCGGGCCCCGGCCGCCACCCCGGGGCTTCGCTGAGGGCCCGGGCCCCGCCCCGGCTCTTCCGGCTCCGGCTGCGGGCGCGGCGGGGATGCGGGCGGCGGGCGAGCGGAGCGCGGCGCGGCGGGAGGCCACGGGCCGGCGGCTGGCGCGGCTGGCGGCGCTCAGAGGTGGGGCCGGGGGGGCGGCCGGGGGGGCGGCCGGGGGGCGGCCGGGGCCGGGGGGGCGGCCTGGGCCGGGGCCTGGGGTCGGCCGCCCCGCCGCCTGACGCGGAGCCGCGCTGCCCGCAGGGGAGGCCGCGCTGCCCGCAGGGGAGGCCGCGCTGCCCGCAGGGGAGGCCGCCCGCCCCGGCCGGTTCTGGGACGTCGTGGCGCTGACGGCCGCCGACGCGGAGCAGGCGCTGGGCTACCGGCGGCAGCTGGCCGAGAAGCTGAGCAGGAAGGAGCTGCCGTTCGGCGTTCGCTACCACGTTTTTGTGGATCCACCGGGACCGAAAATCGGTGGGCAGCCGTGGCGGGCGTTGCCCCTCGCTGTGGCCGGGAGCAGCGGCCCGGCGGGGCGAGCCCGTGTCGGCTGTCGGCGGCCGGGGCTCGGCGGGATGGAGGGGCTCGGCGGGATGCAGGGGCTCAGGGGCCAAGGCTCGGCGGGATGGAGGGGCTCGGCGGGATGGGGGGGCTCGGCGGGATGGAGGGGCTCGGCGGGATGGGGGGGCTCAGCGGCCGAGGCTTGATGGGATGCAGGAGCTTGGTGGGATGGAGGGGCTCAACGTCAGGGGCTCGGTGGGATGCAGGAGCTTGGTGGGATGGAGGGGCTCAACGTCAGGGGCTTGGTGGGATGGAGGGGCTCGGTGTCCGAGGCTTGGTGGGATGCAGGAGCTCGGTGGGATGGAAGGGCTCGATGTCCGAGGCTCAGTGGGATGGAGGGGCTCAACGTCAGGGGCTCGGTGGGATGCAGGGGCTCAGCGGCTGAGGCTTGGTGGGATGCAGGGGCTCAGCAGCCGAGGCTCAGTGGGATGGAGGGGCTCAGCGGCCAAGACTCAGTGGGATGCAGGAGCTCGGTGGGATGGAGGGGCTCAACGTCAGGGGCTCAGCGGCCGAGGCTCAGTGGGATGCAGGGGCTCAGTGGCTGAGGTTCGGTGGGATGCAGGAGCTCGGTGGGATGGAGGGGCTCAGTGGGATGGAGGGGCTCAACGTCAGGGGCTCGGTGGGATGGAGGGGCTCAGCGGCCGAGGCTCGGTGGGATGCAGGGGCTCGGTGGGATGCAGGGGCTCAGTGGGATGGAGGGGCTCGGTGTCCGAGGCTCGGTGGGATGGAGGGGCTCGGTGTCCGAGGCTCGGTGGGATGCAGGGGCTCGGTGGGATGGAGGGGCTCGATGTCCGAGGCTCGGTGGGATGCAGGGGCTCGGTGGGATGCAGGGGCTCGGTGGGATGCAGGGGCTCGGTGGGATGGAGGGGCTCGGTGTCCGAGGCTCGGTGGGATGGAGGGGCTCGGTGTCCGAGGCTCGGTGGGATGCAGGGGCTTGGTGGGATGGAGGGGCTCAACGTCAGGGGCTCGGTGAGATGGAGGGGCTCGGTGGGATGGAGGGGCTCAGCGGCCGAGGCTCGGTGGGATGCAGGGGCTCGGTGGGATGCAGGGGCTCGGTGGGATGGAGGGGCTTGATGTCCGAGGCTCGGTGGGATGCAGGGGCTCGATGTCCGAGGCTCGGTGGGATGCAGGGGCTCGGTGGGATGCAGGGGCTCAGTGGGATGCAGGGGCTCGATGTCCGAGGCTCGGTGGGATGCAGGGGCTCAGTGGGATGCAGGGGCTCAGTGGGATGCAGGGGCTCGATGTCCGAGGCTCGGTGGGATGCAGGGGCTCGGTGCCGCTGGCCAGGCATCTCTCATCCCGCTGACCCGGGGCTGCTGCAGCTGCAGGTCCCGCCCGGGGCCCGGCGGGGTTCGGTGTGGGTGGCGGGAGCAGGGAGCGCCGCGCGGGGCACCGCGCCGGCAGCACGTGCGCTGGGCAGGGTCGGTGTGGGTGTCGGTGCCGCGAGGCGCCGGCACGCCGCGCCGTGCTGCCGCGCTCGCTGGGTGCGGGGCTCCGCGCGCCCGTCGGCACGCCCGCACCGCTGCGACACGCTCGGGCGGGCAGAGGCTCTGTGCCACGACAGCTGTCTGCGGCGGTGGGAGGGCTCCAGGACGCTGCCGGAAAACCACGCGCCCAGGTTCTAGTGCCATTGAATAGCGTGTGGTTTTGATCCGGGTGTGCAACGGCTATCATCAAGGGTTGCCTGCTTTTTTGTCGATTGATTTTGGCCGTTGCACTTGCCACTGTAATATCTGGGACCCCAGCATGGTGATTCTGAGTAAGCGCGTGCTGATGGAACTGTATGGAATACTCCCGAGTGTATTGTACGGAACACAGAATAACACTAACTCCTGTTTTTTATAACTTCATGTTACTTGCCCTAACCCAGTTGTTCAAATTTAAACAATTTGAATATGTTTTAATATATTACCTAATGCACAGCTAAAACCTAGAAGAAAGTAGCCCGACTGTCCAAAATTTCACCCCATAATTCTTAATTCACATTCGCTTTGATGCAGAAAGTAATCCCAGTAGTCTCTCCGCAGTGTAGAATAATAGACAGATTAATTTTCAAAAATCTAGCCACTTTAAGTTGTAGGAGCACATAAAAATATCCCAAACCATTTCCACATTTGCATATTGTAAATGTCAAAAGTACTTTTGAATGCTTGCTTGAAGTCATTCATGAACTTTGTGTGACTGACTTCCCACTGGAGCTAGTTTTTATGGTTAAGTTACGGCCTCCTGGAATGATGAAACACTTCAAATGCCGGGGCTGTTCAGAGAATGACTGGGAGGGGAAACACGGTATTGTCCCAAGAGCTGTCTGCTCCAGATGCCCTCTCCTCTGAGCGCACAAGGCTTCCAGAGGGACTGTCCATCATCTGCTCTGCATGATTTTATCAGCTACGATACGGTAGAAAGGCTGTTCTGCCAGAACTGGTTTAGGAAATTTCAGATAGGCATCTCTGCATCCACTGGCACTCGGTTTGTTTAAAAGATCATCTCTGTAGTCATAAGGCCTTTTGAAAAATAAGTGACAACTTTTTTTCCACAGCAGAAGGCAGCATTTAAAACATGCTTCCTGGTCACCCTACCGCAGCACCAAATCCTAGTATGCTTCACAGGTCAGTGCAGAGATTATTGGTGCTCTTCTCAGGAGATACTAAAATATTTTTTCTTTAGGAAATGGTGGATCAACACTTCATGTTCTTCGGTGCTTGGAAGATCTGTATGGTGATAAATGGGCATCTTTTATTGTGCTGCTAATTCATTCTGGTAAACTCTATGACTTTTTTTTTTTTTTTTTTTCCCTAAAAATAATATCTGAAATAGAGTTCCCTCAGGAAAGTAATCCCAAATGTATTTGATCAGATCATTTGAAGTTAGATTGATACTTAGGAGATGTTAGTGTCACTTCGGCATTTCTTCTCAGCTCTTAAGTTATTCAGTCCAACAGTGGCAAAATGTAATTCTAAGTATCTGAATTAAGCTTCTGCCTTGAAACACCCATTGAAGGAGCTTGGCCCTCTCTGTGGGGACCTCAGAGACCTTGTAACTGCAGGCAGGCTGAATGCTTGCCTTCCTAGCCAGCTCAGCAGAACCCACGCGCCCAAACGGGCATCGGTTTGCAGAGGAGAAAGAGACCAGGTAAGGAGAAGTCACCTGACAGCACCACTGCTGCTTTGATTCATCTCTGACTTAAAATTCTCAGCGAGGGTGCAGGAGTCCTTTTTTCAAGCAAAAAGCAGGCGTCATTTGCTTTCTTCACTTTAGTTGCAGACAAGTGGTCTGTATTCCAGCTCTGAAGCAAACTGACGCTGGTTAAATCAGCCACGATTTTAATATAAGCTATTTAAGGCATGCTGAAGGCTGAAGTTTGGACATAAAATCAGATCTGCTTTGAGAAATGTTTGAAGAATGATTGATGATGTTCTTACATATGTTGTTTTTTGAGGAATACTTAGTATAATACCAAGCTGGGGTTTGTTTTTTTTAATACCTTTGTGTATATGTAAAATAGCAAAAACTGAACCTATACAGCTTACTTATGTACAGTGCCTCTGTATATTTAATAATTTATTTTTCTTCAAGGCGGTTACAGTCAGCGTTTACCAAGTGCAAGTGCCCTGGGAAAGGTTTTCACAGCACTGCCTTTTGGTGATCCCGTTTACCAGATGTTGGAACTGAAGCTCGCCATGTACATTGATTTCCCCAGTCACATGAAACCAGGAGTTCTCGTTACGTGTTCAGATGACATAGAACTTTACAGCACTGGAGTTGCAGAAACCGTCACATTTGATAAACCTGGATTTACCGCATTAGCTCACCCTTCAGATTTGACAGTTGGGACCACTCACGGAGTGTTTGTTTTGGATCCGTCCAGTTTTTCAGGAGAAGGAGGGCTTGAATACACGTCTTGCCGTCATTTCCTGCACAAGCCCGATATTGAGACGATGCGCCAGTGTGGCGCAGTGTGCGTAAGGGGGAATTCTTCTCAGCTGAGCTCCTCTGGAGAACGCAGGGACTCAGAAAGGGACTCGGAGTGTGTGTATACAGACAGTATATTTTACATTGATCATAGCACTGCAAAACAATTACTGACATTTTATAAGGAGGTGGGCCCTCTTTGCTGTGAAATAGATGCATATGGTGACTTCCTCCAGGCCCTGGGACCCGGAGCCACTCAAGATTACACAAAAAATACAAGTAACGTCACAAAAGAGGAATCACGGTCAGTAGAAGTACGGCAGAAGCTGTACTCTCTTCTGAAAGGAACTACGCTTAATGTCATAGTTTTAAACAACTCTAAATTCTATCACATTGGAACTACTCAGGAGTATTTGTTTCATTTTACATCCGATAGCAAACTGAAATTTGAGCTTGACTTACTGTCTGTGGCTTTTAGCATCTTTTCTGACAAAGCTGAGGCCTTGGGTCAATCGGCAAGTATCATACAAAGCATACTTGAGCCTGGATGTTGTATAGGGCCTGGATCTGTTGTTGAGTACTCTAGAATTGGACCTGAAGTCTCAGTGGGGAAGAGCAGCATTATTAGTGGATCCTACATAAACGTGAAAGTAGACATACCTCCAAACTGTTTCCTGAGTTCCTTGAGTATAAAAATGAACGATCAGGTTAAGTATGTAAGCATGGTGTTTAGTGTAGAAGATGACTTGAAAAAGAGTGTGAAATTGTTGTCAGATATACCTTCACTCCAGTTTTTTGGAGTCAGTTTACTGGAATGCTTGGGCCTCTGGGGTGTAAATGTTTCAGACCAGCTCTTCTCCAGTGAGAACACACGTTTGGGGTTGTGGACTGCTAGGATTTTTCCTGTTTGTTCTACTTTAAGTGAATCAGTTAGAATGTCATTAAAAATGTTAAATTCTGTGCAGCACATGTCAGCTTTTAAACTGAATGGTTTTAAGCTCTTGTCTGTTGAAGAAATGCTCGCCTACAAAGATGTAGAAGACATGTTGAAGTTTAGGAAGCAAATTTATGATGAAATTTGTCTACAAAAACAAAAAGAGAAGTCTGCTTTGTAGAATGAACAGTACTTGAACAAATTTCCTGTTTTCACTTGTGGATGATTGATAACTTCCCAGCTTGCAAAAATCATGAGAAAAAAAGTACACAGATCTTTTCTCTGATTTAATCAAGGTAGAAATAATTAAATGGCATTAACGTTGTTGTAGCATAACATTAATAATGCAGCAAGTGCAGATAAACAGTTCTTCTGATGAAAGAAGTAATGAAATATTTCAGATCTCTGAAAACACTAATTGATGACTTTTTTGGGGGTGCATATTATTATGTTTTGTAATCTTTGTCAGTAAGAATATGATACAGAACCAATTAGTTAGAAATTTGACTGAAAATTGCTTTGAAAGTTTTTCAAAGTAGAACATTAGCTCCAGTGACATGGAATGATACAGCAATAACTTATGTTTCTCTCTTTTCATGCTGCCTTTTTACAGCAGTGTTTCAAATAGGTAGAGATAAATTTATTAAAAATACTTTTTAAATTAAGGCCTCCTGTCTTAAACATTAATCATTTGGAAAATGGACTGTGCCATAGCGAATATCAGTGTACAAGGACTGATAATGGTATTGGCAATCCAGGCATCCATCTGTCAAGGGCTGGTGGAATTTAAAAATTAAAATACACATCCATTGCACTTTGAATCCTGTTGAAAGGATTTGGCAGACATGAGGCATAGTTTTCTTCAGGCTTTTTCGTGAGTTTTAAATGCCGAAACATGGCTTTACCCTGTCAAGCTACAAAAGGTAGCCAGTTTTGTTGACTCTCCTGTATCAGCTTGAGGATACAACCTGAAAACCTGGCATGAATACCCTGTTTGATTGAAGTCACTAGGGGTTTTGCTTTCGGTTTAAGCAGGGGCCAGGATTTTGCCCCTGGCAAGGGTGGTGACGGAGCCAAGGCTCCCGAGAGCTCTCTGAGGAAGAGCAAGGACCGCAGGGGAGTCGGGGAGCAGCCAGCCCTGCGCACGCCTGGCAGCCCCTCGCCCGCCCGCGGTGCGGCGGAGCAGGGGCGGTGGGCGAGCGGGAGCTGCTGAGCACAAGGAGAAGAGTCCACCTGCAGTGGGTGTAACGTCACTTTTGAGTTAACGGTACGTCGGTCGAAAGGAGAGAGATGACGACACAGAAGCGAGTATTTGTGTGTATCCTTGATGACACATTTGAAAAATAATGTCTTCAGGCATGAGATAACCCTTTGCTGTATGTTTTGCAGCTATTTATGAAGTGTGTGTGGTTTTTAGCTATGACAAATTACAGTCCTTACAACAAGGGCTACGTTATAGGGTGACTAGATCTTAGTAAAGTCAAAAAGACTTCAGACTGGACGCTTCCATCTAAGTTTGATGTACACAATATGTGTATGTGTTTTATTTGTATTGCATTTTACAAACTTTAATCTTTCCTTTTCACAGTCTGCTGTTAAGGTAGATGAGAAAAATTTTCTCATGCAACCAGCTGGGATAAATTTGTCCCAAGGAAACTGAAAGACTTGTGCAAGGCCACACAGTAAAACTTAGCAACAGCAAGATAGTAGTTAGGGGGTTGCTGATTTGTGGTACCAGATTCTGAAAACAAGACCATCATGGCATCCTAGCCATGGTTTTCCTCCAGTCTGAGTAATAAACGATTCAGCGCTGAAAATGCCCATCAGGTAGTGCCTTGTAAGAACGGGAGGCATCTATTGGAGTTTCACTTTGATTAGGGCTTATTGAGATTCCTAGATGGATGCAGTTTTCATATGGGCCTCAAGATCATTGCCTGGCTCCATCTCTCCTGAAATGCAGCTCAGGCTGGTACAGTCTCAAATAAAGCCAAGATGAGTGTTTAATGATTTTATTCATGTCAGCTTTCTTTATTTAATTAGTTTTGCTGTGTAGTGCAATAATAGGGCTCATAATGAACATCATCTTAATGATTTCCCTGAATGCTTTGAGAGCATGCTATAATGAACAGATATTTAGCCGTACTGTATATATTACACTACGAAATTTGATAGAGGAGGATTATTTCGGTAACCTTTTAGGCAGGAAATTGAAATCTGAGAAATTGGGCACTTAAAAAAGAACGCAAGGGAAGGCAGCTGAAGTAAAAATGAGCAGCTGAAAGGTATCTGTGCCAGAAGGATTTTAGGAACTGACAGAAGAAAGTAAGCTCCAACAATCATTTGGATCTGTGTAGAAATGTTCTTGACTCGGACAGGGAGATTGTCTGTACTGGAGCTCAGCGGTTCCAGCCTCTTCTCATTCCTAAATCTCTGATGCAACAGCTTCATTTTCTGCTCTCTGCACATGTGGAAAATTAATCCCTGTGCAAATGCCACTGCGGTATTGTGAGAACAAAAATAGCAGTACTATTCTCCTGTACGCGTCTTTTAATCCACTGCCACCGAGAAGCCATTGTAAGCACCTGTTTCCTTATATGGGCTACAGAGTACCTTGTACTTTATTTTCATAAAAATGCATTTTCCTTTAACGCCAGTTTTATTTTCTGTGTCATATCTGAATGTCACCATTGAAATGTATAGGACCAACCTACAGCCCCTAAAAGTAAATGATAGATATGGATATGTTCTAATCAATTTGAAATAAAAATAATTGCAAAAGACCTAAGCCTGTAAAGCCTCCCTGTGGAGGAGATTTAAAACCAGAAATGGGAAGGGAGTTTTTCACATTTCTCTTATAAGATTGGACATGACAACTGCATGTTCCAAACATAAAACTGCAATAAAACTTTTTAAAAATTAATCAAATTTGCCATCCAGAGGGGCCTGGGCAGGCTGGAGAGGGGATCCAGGCAAATCTCATGGAGATCAACAAGGGCAAGGGCCTGCCCGGGGGTCGGGCTGAGAGAGTTGGGGGGGTTCAGCCTGGAGAAGAGAAGGCTCCGGGGAGCCCTTCGAGCAGCCTCCCAGGGCTTAAAGGGGGGACAGGAGGGGGGGGGGGGGGACTCTGGGTCAGGGGGTGGGGGTAGGACGAGGGGTGACTGTTTTGCACTGAAAAAGGGCAGATTTAGGTGAGATGTAAGGCAGAAATCCTCCCCTGTGGGGGTCCTGCCACCCCGCCTCGCCTCACCGCTCAGCACCTCTGCTCCCGTCGCGGTGCCCCCTTGCGCTGCACCTCGCCTCACGCCATCTCAGCACGCCGTCTCGCCTCGCCGCCCCTCGCCTCGCCTCGCCTCGCCTCGCCTCGCCTCACGCCATGTCAGCATGCCATCTCGCTTTGCCGCCCCTCGCCTCGCCTCGCCTCGCCTCTCCTCACGCCATCTCAGCACGCCATCTCGCTTCGCCTCGCCTCGCCTCACCTCGCCTTGCCGCCCCTCGCCTCGCCTTGCCTCGCCTTGCCTCACCTCGCCTCACGCCATCTCAGCACGCTGTCTCACCTCGCTGCCCCTCGCCTCGCCTCGCCTCGCCACCCCTCGCCTCGCCTCGCCTCACGCCATCTCAGCACGCCATCTCGCCTCGCCTTGCCTCGCCTCGCCTCGCCTCGCCTCACGCCATCTCAGCACGCCATCTCGCCTCGCCTCGCCTCGCCTCATGCCATCTCAGCACGCCATCTCGCCTCGCCTCACCTCGCCTCGCCTCGCCTCACGCCATCTCAGCACGCCATCTCGCCTCGCCTCGCCTCGCCTCGCCTCGCCTCGCCTCACGCTATCTCAGCACGCCATCTCACCTCGCCGCCCCTCACCTCACCTCGCCACCCCCCGCCTCGCTGCCCCGTGGTCGGCCTCACGCCATCCCACCTCGTGCCTCGCCTCAGCGCGCCTCGCCTCGCCGCCCTTCCCCTCGCCTCCCTGCCCCTTGCCTCGCCTCGCTTCCTCTTCGGCTGCCGCTGGACGCCATTTCCCTCCTCCCCTCCCTGCGCCACACCGGCCGAGGGAGCGGGACAGAGGCGCTGCCCATGGCACGTGGGGCTGGCACAGCGCCGGCAGCAGCCCCGGGATTTCCCCCAGAGACGGGGAGCTGCAGCACCAAAGCCAGGCAGAAAAGGGGGGGGGGGGGGGGGGGGGGGGGCCGCCTCCCTGCACTGATCAGTTATCACAGGCATTTTCCAGGTTCTCCTGTGATTTTTACCTAAACTGACAAACTTCCAGTACTGCACATCCAAGCCCTGAGGTGACAGCAGGCTGAAGCCAAGCCCTTCCAGAGTCCCTAACATTGACGGAGCGGCGAAGTCACCGCCATGGCAGGTGCCCCAGCACGGTCGGGGTACCCCAGCTCCCCTTCCAGCGAGCCCAGGCTGAGCGGGCAGCGCTGCTGTCAGCCGTAGCTGCTCTGTGGGGATGAGCCCGGCGAGGACAGAGAAGCGTGCGGACAGCAAGCCACAGCGTCCATTCTGGTAAGTTCAGGGGCTCCGTGGGGAGATGGTTACATTTTTACGGCCTTGATCATAAGGGTTTCCTTCACAAATCCCTAAACTTCTACCAAAAAAAGGACAATATTCCTGTTTTTATTATCACTCCGGTAAAAAGTGGAGTGCTTTCGCCCAGATCATGTGGCAGAGCAGTGGCAAAGTGAAAAATCCCAGATGCATCTCCTGCCTGCGGAGACGCCGTGCGAAGGACCCAGGCAGGCTGAGCTGTCCTGGGGGGGCAGTGGGCACCAGCAGCTCCCCTGAGGGGACCGGGCTGCCTTCGGCGAGATTTTCTGCGGGCAGGCAATGGCAGCACACAGCCCCCGCGGGACCTCCTGCCCGCCGGCATGCGGGGCGACAGCAAGGGCTGCAGGGCCGTGCGGGGAGGAGGAGGCCGAGCCTCGGGAGCCCCAGGCCTGATGGAGCCGCCGCGTAAATGCTGCGGGAGTGCAAAGAGTTGGGAGGGCGGCTGTGAGAGCCGCTGGGCCGGAGCCAGGAGCCCCGCCTGGTCCCGGACCCCCTGCAGGCCCCTCGTCCAGAGCAGCTCCTAAAAGCACGGGCTGCCGACACAAAGGCTGATCCACCTTATGTGGCAATCAAAGGTGAAAATCCTAATATGATTAACACTCTCCTTCCTAAATGGATCAGAAAACGTTCAGAAAGCCCCACTGCTATAAAAAGATGAAACGCGTCCATTGCAGAGCTCCTGCTGTGGTCCAGGCCGCCGAGGGGGCTGCGTGCTGGCACTCACGTGTCCTGGCAGGCTGCCGGCCCCCAGCACTCTCTAGCAGGTGGGAGATGGCCAGAACACTTGCCTTCGGCTGCACAGCCACAGCTGCATTTTAGACATTCGAAGAAAAACAAACAGAGCTCAGCTAATGAGAGCAGTGGGAGAGGAGAGACCCTCCTCAGCGCCACATTTCCAGCTCCTCCAGTTGCTTGGCAACTAGATGTGGAGGATCACTTACCAGGCTGGCGCCTTTTTGCAAATATTTGGTTGAATATCACAAGGCATATTGTCAAAGCAGTTCAAAGTCTTCTGGAATACATCCCTGGTTTTATGTGTAAATCAGTGCAAATAAATGGATGAGCTCGTGCTGTGTCAGGAACTATCACAGGAGTGCAAGTTTGTTTACAATAGGATGCAGCAGGTTGAAGATTTTATATACACAGCTATTATATTTACATATCTTCTTGCATGAAACCCTTGACTGAGAAAACTAAGAACAGAACAGCTGCCAAGGTCAATCACCACACTTCAAGTACATAAATATATTTCTGTGTATATATATGTATAAGATCGTATAAATATATATGTGTGTGTATATATTTATACACATATAAGTAGATGTATACCAAATAAATAAACCCAAAAAAAACAATAAAAGGAGGAAAAGGAACACATGCAGAAACTAGCATGAATCCTGGACCAGTATGTGTCAAGTAGTTCCATTTGATAGAAAACACAAGGAAATGGATATGAAAAGAGTAGACAATAAATGAGCAGATCTGTGCTAACCAGATTACTGAGGAGATTCGGTTTGTGTGAGTGAAAAGCAGTGTTATTTTGCTATTAACCAATCTTTCACAGTTCTTAAGCCCAGACTCTTTCAGGAATGCGTCTGTGCGCACAGTCGAGATTAATTTTGCCACGGTTTGTTTGCATGTATGTGCATACACACAGAGCCCAGTTTGCTCAGTCTACCCTTCCAGCTAGCCAGATCGTGGGGTTTTTAGTACATTACTGCGACACTGGGTCCGAGATAAAATACTGACAAACAGGACAAATTAGACCAAGCACAGGATTTAGTTACGGATCTGTATAGATCCTGGTCCTCGCCTGTCTCTGCTTGGAATACGAACAAAGCAGGGTGATTGCGTCCTCGCTTGTTTCTGGAGAAATTCTACCTAGAGCGAGAGCAGCAGCAAAACAGCCGCCGCAGCCTCCCTCCTCCCTCCTGTGTCAGCCCGTGCGTGGTGACCAGCCCAGCCTGCGCCGGGTCCCCTCCGCCACCGACACTCCGACCGCTGGTCTAACCGGCCGAGCTGCTGCTGCCCGCCGGGGCAGGGAGGGCGGATCTCTGCGGCGGGTCCGTGTGTGCCCACAGGCGCAGAGCAGGCACCGAACGGCCGGCAGCCGCCTCGTGTCCCGCTCCGGCTCACGCCCTCAGCGTGACGCCCGGTGCGCATATGGCCGAACTGCGAAAAGGCACTGCACTCCCGTACGACGTGGTTTGCACGTGCCAAGTAAAACACCCAGACGCTCCAAAGCCATCCCCCAGGTTAGGGTACAGCTTAATGTTATCAGCTGAGATCATCTTTGGCCTCTCCAAACTGGGGACCCCCAGCACTCCTTGGGGATCCTGAATGTATGCTTGGGATTCAGCTTCTTGAATTCCTTTTTCTCTGCAAAACTGGTAGCAAGCTGCCAAATTACCTGCCTCCCATCGGTTTTGGGTGTTCAACAGATGAAAGCAAATGTTTCTGTTGAAATAAACAGTAGATTTTTAAGCAAGCTGATTAGGTACATTGATTATTTTTTCACAGTTGACAGCACAGACTGTTTTGTTCTATGTCATTGTTGCATGACATTCCATTTGACACAGGGTTTATTTTTAGCCAGAGACTATCAAAAGTATTTTTCAGTAGGACTGACACTGCTCTTGAACAAGGAATCATATTACTCTAAGAACTTTGCTGAAACAAAGAAGATATATTGGACAAATGGGAAACTATAAATCTAGACCAACCCAAACTTGCACTGGTAATTAATGTTGCTTTTTAAAATGCAATATGCCATACATCCATCTAAAAGAAGAAAATGATATTTCAGGAAATAACTCATTGCTAATTTACTATTGAGTTCAGGAGAAGGTATTGTATTGTTCTCGGTTTACAAGAAGAACGGCTTAACCCAAATCGCATATACCGTCTCTAGAAGACAAAAAGCTAGATAACTAAATTTCTTTGTGCAATTGTATAAGATCATATTAACTTAGATTATTATGTTGATTTAACTTGTACTTCGTGAGAAAAACCTTTAAACTTCCAACCTTTTTATGTTGTGTGTTTATGCTAAGATATAGGAAATGAGCTAACAAATGCAACCTGTGGTTAAAGTTTCCTCTTGCTCAAGTTAAAAATTTTTCTGATAAGGATTCATATGTATTACTTGCCTATGAAATCGGTATAGATGTGTCTATATTAGTTGCAGCAAGAATAGTTTAATAGCTGTAATATTTTAAACTTTCATACTTTAATATAAAAAGATATGAAACAGTGTGCAATTGGATCTTTAAAAAGCAAGCGCTTTGGTTACTGGGACATTATGATTTGAGATCCTGTTTTTTATAGGTTTTGAAGTGCTTTATGAATCACGGGTTTTTTTGTTGTTAGATGAATGGAAGAAGAAAGTTAGTGAATCATATGCTATAATCATAGAACGATTAGAAGATGACCTTCAAATCAAAGAAAAGGAGCTGGCGGAACTGAAGCATGTTTTTAGGTAAAATATTCTGGAAATCTGTTTATTAATTTATTTCAAACAAGTATTTTCTATTAAGCAGTATTTTCAGTTTCAGGCGTTTTCTTATGGAAGGAGTTTCTCACATATGGAATGCATGTTCTTTAATGTCTATTTTGGGGAATATGTCATTACGGTTGTGGGCTAGAGTCCCACAGCAGAGTACCAAAATTAGTGGCTGTTAATTACCAATGCCAATAGTTTACAACAAACATCTATATACTTTTGTAAATTAATTATCTTTAGTGGGATGTTTAATTTTGTTGTGTACTTTTCTAGTTTTGCTAATGTGGTTCTTCAGACAGGAACATTGCTGCAGTAACAAATTTTAAACAAACACAAAAGCAGATTATCTTCTGAAAGTGGATTTCAAATTCATGACTTTAATCACTTTCTCAGGACAGCACATGCTCACACCCAAGTTCACCCAACCAAGTAACATACTTCCATTTTCAATATCTGAAAAGATCAAATACAGAAAACATCCAGTTCATTGACTGAATAAGTGAAGGAAATGGTCAGGTAAATAATTTCAGACATCAAAACCACTTGAAAAAATAGGGAATTCTAATCAGAAATAAATCACAAGTTCAAAAAAAGCCAAATTGGTCATATAAATTATTCATCATGCTCCCTTTCAGCGAGCATAATTATCACTGTCTGAGCCTGTTAAATGAAAGATGACATTGGCCGTTCACTGCAGTATGCTGACCACTTTGGCTGTGCTCCAGTAAAATACTTCGGTATTTGCCTCATTTTAAGCCTATTTAGTAGTAAAACTAATTAACTTAACAAATTAGAGCCTGAGTACTCTTTATTTTTGATAAACAAGACAACCGAGTATATGGTAAAAGTGCTTAATTCCTGCATTAGCCAGAAGAACAAAGAAAAAATTATCTTCAAGGTTAGCAGACCTTTGGCAGTTCAGTTTATCAATCCATCTTACTGCCCCGCATAAGTCTCAATGACAGCCAAACTCTTCTTAGATAAAGAGCACTGCTCTTTCCCACAGAAGGCGTGGGAATTAATGCTACTGGTAACATTGCATTGGAAAGCCTTTTTTTTTTGGTCAGGCTTGACGAATCAGCCAATGATTTAATTTCCAAAAGCTGCCTTCACCCATGGGTAATGAAATCGGTCAAGTTTTGTGAGTATCTAAAATCCAAATATGGCCCATGTAAAAAATCAGTCTTGACTATATGAAAAACTTTTCTACAGCAGCAGTGGTTATTTTCAGAAGACTTCTCATCTCTGAAGTAGCAGAGGACTTAATAGGTTTTTTCCTATTGTTAAAACAAATCCATTTATTTTTAAAAATTAAGACTGAGAAACCAGATGGTTGTTAGAAGATAAGTCAAAGAAGGTAATTTGCCTGATGGAAATGAAATAAGTAGCTGTTAAAGTCCCTTCTCAGAAAGATTTGGAACATAAACAGGACAAAAGTGACAAAGCCTGGCAGAGGAAAGAACTGTCAGCATCCCCGTTTATACTTAGGGAACACATGCACAGGTCAATGGGTTATTGTCCAGTGCCATAAAAAAAGCTCTGTTGCAATAGTGAAAAGGAAATTTATAAGTAGCACAGCACCTGTCACTTCTTGGATAAATGTCCCTATTCTATTCCTATATCTCAGTGCCATTAGTGCAATAGCTTAAGCAAAAAGACCACCCTAAAATAAAAAGACATGATTTTGTTTCCCTAAAATATGCATTTCATTCTTAAGAAAGGAATGAATTAGGAGGACACATAGATAAAATTGGGCCCTGAGCATAGTCATTTGAGCTAGTTTTCATTGTCAATGTAAGCTTTTTCATCGCAGATTTTAGTACATAAAACTTTCTTTGCAATATTTTCCCACAAAAACATTAAAATTTTGCCAGTTTTCAAGAAGTCAAATCGTATTAAAATTGAGCATCACGAAGAAAACAAACTGAAACTTTTTTATTATTTTTCAAATGGGGAGAAGAGGAAAAGTTAAGTATCTAGCTAAAATGGTAACACCTGGATTCTTAACCATACATCAAGTACTAGGAATGTAAAGTTTTACTGTAGTTCCAAAGACAAAAATCGAAGCAGGAAACATGACTTTAGAGCATGACAATGTTCTGTGAGAGACTTGCAGAATTCACCCCTCAAACAAAGCAATCCCCCTCCAGTATGCAGTCACTGCAGTGCACCGGTACCTATGGTCGTCTGTTCGTGCACACCCAACATGCTACAGCAAAGGCAAGTTAACTAACAGGACTTGTTTCCCAGAACCTGGAACTTATTTTCCCTCAATTGCCCCTGAAGGAAAACCTGAGGAATAGGCGAGCCTTGTGTCACTGTCATTAGTCACAGTATGTCAGAGACAAATTGCACAAAGATAAAACAAATTTGAAGAATGAGATTTTATTTTTACTAAGCAAAACATTTTACACATTAGTAAAGTGGAAGTGGTAGATGAAGGGCTGTCACCAAACAAAGGTACACGTGACTATAATGTGTGAAAAAAATTGTCCCCCACAAAAGTGCTTTACATTTAGGACACTGAAAAATGACCTTCCTTAACATGTGATAGCATTCTAAGGACTGCATATGAAAATCTAGACTGATGTGACAATTAATGCCACTGAAGCACACAGTTTTGGCAAAACAAGTCCAATTTTTGCATTCATAAATAAATGCCATGCTCTAGTTCTATCAGGCCCGTATCCTTTACAAATCACACACTGTTCCTGAACATCCTAAAACTCCATATTGACAACAGGCAGCCAGGAGGCTCCATCAGAGCAGTCCTGACAGAAAAAGTATTTTCCACAAAGCTACTTTTCAAGAGGAACACCGAGCCAGAATTTCTCAGGAGGAAGATCTTTATTTTTTCCGCATTTAACCCTCAGCCAGGAGTTCGTTCGGGTGTCGCTGGAAGCCCGGGTGATTTGCCGCAGGGGAGCCCCTGGCCCCAGCTGCCCCCGGGGGGTGGGGGGGGGCGGCACAGGGTGCCCCGGCACGGCACGGGGGGGCCCCTGCCCACCGCCCCCCCCGGGCAGCAGGCCCAGGCCCCCGCGGCCCCTGCCCGGGGCTCTGGCGGTCGCTGCGCCGTTCCATAGCGCGAGCAAACCAACCGCCCCGCTGGGCCGGGAAGGGAACTTCCAAATTCGGGAGGCTAAGGGTGTTTCTTCCGAAACACAACCCAGAAGAATGCGGCGGCGCAACATTTCCAAATTAATTTGGTCGCACTTCATGAAAAAGGGTATGAACACACGGGTTTTGTTCCTGCTTTGTAATGATAACACGTATCGAACAAGAAGGATTTCTTTTAGGACAGACTTAGCAGAAGCAAAGACAAGTCTCTGGTTTGTCGGCATTTTAAATTCTATTTAAAGAATAAATTAGTGAAACATTTATTGAAATAAAAGGCCTGAGTGTCACCTTGCTTAGCAGGGGTCATCTTGCTAAGGGGAGCTTTGCATAGGTTTATATTTTAAAAGGTGAGGGAAGTATTAAAACCTTATTTTTAACTGTAGCGCCCTTAAGTATGTTTAACAGTGCTACTCACGTGGAATGGATTTACAGATATACAAATCTAAGTGTTCTTCTAAACCATGATCATTGGCATACTGATGCTGATTGAAAATAAAAACAAACTGCTAATGACAGAGCAAAATCGGCATTCTCCACAGAAATATTAATTGCTACAGGTATCTAAGTTTCAACAAATGTAATTGCTGAGGATGTTTGACAGAGCAGTAACAAGTCAATCTGTGCTAAAGGGAAACCATGAGACTTGACAACAAAAGCTAAAATGTTCAAGTATGGTAATCATTTAACAATCTGTAAGTAAAAATAGATAGAGTGATCATTTTCCTTCACACTTTTCAGAGGCTCTCTTCACTGTTTAGAAAATTAAAGTGACGATTCAGGCTTTCAGGAGTTTTTCAAGTAAAGCTATAATGCACAGTGAAAAAGGATTTATAACCAGAGGTGGGTACCGCTCTAGCTGTGGAGAGGTTACCACTCCCTCGTGATCTAACGGGCATTAACGACGTGAAATAAAGGTGTCCAGTCACATTGTCCACAAGCTTATACAAAGACACTGTTCATGTCTCTTTGTAAATCTAGAAGCATCTTTGGGTTACTATCCCTTCCCTTTGCTGCCAGCTTTTCTAGCTTTACTTTATGAAGAATGGAAAGTAATTAATTATAAAATTGCATAGGTTGTAACACTTTTATGTACGCACTTTTTTTTCTTGCTAAAAAAGAACAGAGCATCAAATACAAGTGCTGGATGTCTTTTTAATGTGTGAGACCTAGTATGAATCCTATGTAAGAGCTGTTATATTAGAAATGTATTAATAATAATTAATTCATTTTAATTATTCATTTCATCCTTGTGTGGCCTAGAAAGCACTATGAAATGTGGAAGAAAATTAAACATTAAATTGAGCTTAATTTTCTCAGCGTCACAATACGTGACATTTAGTTATCTGAGAATTTGAAGTGCAAACATGCCTTTCCTCAGTAAGATGCAAGTACAAACTAATATTGTAATTGCTTATATCAAGACCAGAAATACTTGACTACAAGTAAATGGGAAGTGAAGATGAGGATGTGTAAATTATTTTAAAATTCTATTTTATTATATCACATCCCAGTGCAATGCACCAAAGCAGAAAAGCAGTGCTGTCAGATCACACCAGGGTCCATGTTCCTACCGGTGCTTAAAGTAACAGTCAGTACTTGGTGTTTTGAGAGAGAGTGCTGCCCTGGGGGCTTCGCCCACGCCTTGCTCCAGCCCCCCCCGTCCTGCCCTCTCAGATCTCACACACGTACGGATCTTCTTAGGACTTAGTGTGCCATCAGAACTGCAAATCCTCAGCCAGAAGGGGAACTTCTGGAAAGATTACTTTATTCCTCAAAATGCTTCAGATATATTTTTCCTTTAATCATTGCCAAATTTTTGTCTGAGCTTTGGTTACCTTCCTTCCATGTATGTGCTTCCGCAGGGTTTTCATGTAAAGGTTTCCATGTATTGATTGTATAGTGTTTCTGTGATCTCATTTGGGGAACATAAACTTACTTTCTGAAAGGCTTATTCTGGTTATCCTTTTTACATAGATTGTGTGCCTCGAGTTCCATGCATGTCCTGCTCATCATTTTAGAAAGAATACATAGCTTTCAAAAATATTTCTTAGTTATTGTTGCATTAATAAACTGCTTTTGTATGAATTATACTTCTAAAGAGTCTTTCCTCTTTTCTCTCTAATTTAGCTGAATGTAGAATGTATATACTGTGACTGAACGACAGGATTGTTCAGAAAACAATAAATCTGGACTACTCACTTGATATCAGTAAAGTATTTTCAGATTTTCAGAGTGTAAATTCAGTATAAGTTTAGACCTGTGTCTCAAAAAAAGTACTTTGTGATTTCTCTTTTAATTTTTTTCCAAATTATTGATACTGTGCTAAAGGGTGAAAACAGTAATCATCTATAAAAATCTCTTTTTTCAGCTCTGATGAAGCCTTCTGCAAAGTCAATTTAAATTACCGCACAGACAATGGGCTCTCTCTTCTTCATTTATGTTGCATATGTGGAGGTATGTTTTTGAAATATTATGTTCTTTAAACATTTTATTTACATGGCTACTGATTTCTTCTGTCTGATAACTGTCAGGAAGATCATCTTTTCAGTGAATTTCTTTCTGTATTGTTTCTGCTGGCAGTTGGGTAAGCATCTATAAGCATTACTCTAAACTATTACCAAGGGTGTTGAATCGAGTTACACTGAACACCATTGTAGCCGATTCTGCGGTCCAAGAAAAGCTTTGGTTGATAACGTTTTACTACAGATGTTCAACTAATCCAAAATTACTTGCTATATGCATTAGTTAATCAATCCATGCTCATCACATAGTATTGCTCTACATTTTTGTATTCCGTACACGGTATAGACTTCAGGATAGGGACCTGGTTGTAGCAATACGTTGCCAAACATACGACACTTATTTTTCCAGTACAATGAAAATAGCTGTATTTTCTCTCATGATGCATAAAAGAAGAATAACTCAAAGGCTATAGTGACAGATATCAGCTGATGGGATTTTTGCTGATAGCAAATCAGAGTATGCAAGCAAAGAGTACAAGATGTCTTCTGGGATCTTTATAAAAACACACTCATGGTGGAATTTTCCACTCCAGTCCACACTGCTGCTCTGTTATCCACACAGTGAGTCAATAGTTCATGCACACACTTTGCACTTGTTATACAATTTTCAGCAGAAATTATCCAAGAAAGGCAAAGAGAATTTTACCCTAAGGTTTCAACTCTACAAACTACTTACTAATAACATGCATACACAATTTTCTCAGTCTTAGACGCTATCATTAAGGGGGACCTGGTCCTGCACTGCTAAACAACAAGTGGATCGTTGCTCTTCATTTCAGAGAGTTCAAGATCATGTCCAAAGATTACATCAGTACCTGGCAACATCAGGGGGGATTGGTGGGATTGTTGAGAGGAAGTTTAAGAAAGCATACAATGTTAATTAATTAGGTACAGTAGGTGAGCATGCGAAAGAGGGAGAGAAGCTATTAGATCCAACATTGTCCTTGATTACTGTCAAAATTATTTAGAAGGCAGATACATTTTTGGGGATCACCACTGTGCATCAGAAAGGTAGAAGTAAGGCTGCTTGCCCATGCTGACATTCATTAACATCCCTCAAAATGACTGTCCCTGGAACAATGTTGCGTAGAGGGCAAGAGCAGTGCTTCAGGTCTGCAAGGATGGAAAAGTTAAGTGTCTGAGAAACCAGAGATTCTGGAAGCATCTGCTCATTTATGAAGTACTCTGCAGCATGGTCTTGATGTTAAAAAAAGGAGTTTGCTTCTTTAGAAGTTTAACAAATCCTTATTATAGTGTGAACAAACATGGCCAGATCTGCAGCTGTCCTGGTGGATAAGTAAATGGTGCCCAATTCCATTGGGAGGTTTCAGGAGATGTCTTTTATGACTTGCCTCAGATCAGCAGATGAGCTACTTATTTCTCTTTGCTTTCAAACTCACACAGAAGTTTCTTGCTTCATCTGTACATTCTTTTCAATAAATGACTTTGTTTTCCAATTTTCATCATAAAGGTAACAAATCACACATTAGAACTCTTATGCTAAAAGGACTGCGCCCATCCAGATTAACAAGAAATGGATTTACAGCTCTGCACTTGGCAGCTTATAAGGTAAATTATTTTGAATAGAACTGATGAACAGAAATCAGAACTGAGCAGCTTATTTGTCTAAACTATTTAGTTGAACTTGCTAGTTACTACTTCTGATGAAAATATAAATTTCACATTTATAGTGCATAAGAAAATGACCTATAAAGAGCCCATGCACAGGAAATCAGCATGTGCTTTTGCAGTGTTTTTTTACATTAGGATATGATATTGCTTTGGAAATATTGGTTAAATCATACAATGCAACTCAAGATAGAGGAGTGTTCTTTTTATTATTGTAGCTACTAATAGAAACAATCTCAAAGGATCTTATTTTACGATTTCTCTCTTTTTATTTGCTTTTTTGTTGTTCCTCCTCAAGACCCATTCTCAGCTTCTCTTTTTTTTTTTATTCATTCTCTTCACTATTATATTTATCTTTTAAGAGTCAACAATATCAGTAGCAAGGAATAAATTGGATAAAGATAGCATTTTCCTAAAGACTTGTTATGATTCTTATTTTGAGATGGAACATCTTAGAAACCTCATCCATGTATAGACTAGCCCCGAGAGCTTTTTAGAGGGAACTCAGATCAAATGTAGGTATCATATTCTAGACTGTAATGTTCAACCCTTATATGTCCCATAGGTGCCACAAGGTCATGGCAGCCTCTTTCTTCTGCAAAGGTCTCATGGCAGATACCATTTTGATTTGCTGTATGTGCAAAGCTGATAGAAGGTTGAGCAGGTAGGCACCTGTGTGCCACTCTTGATCCATGAGTGGTGTTCTTCACTCTGTTGCAAGAGGACACAGGTGTGGTAGATGGTCTTTAATCCAAATATCCATTTCCAAATGCAGCAGGAATCATCACAGTCACAGTCATTCTCCTCCAAAAGCTCACCCGTGGAAGAGGAGATGGTTTGCCTTCTATTTGGAAATAATCTGATGATTAGAATGTTTGTCCAGAGAGAAGAGCAAAGACTCTCTTGGAGAGAATTCAAAGTGACATTGCCAAACAGCAAGCTGTGGCTGCCCTGGAGCGAGTACGCCATCAGCTTTCCTGTGGAAATGATCAGGGGGCATTCAAATGGGGAGCGTGAAGGGAAAGCCTACCATGGGTTGAGTAATGACAGTATTGCCTGGGACACGTGGTGTACAGTCATCAGTCTTATTTGTGCAAGGAAGACACTGACCCCAAAATGTAGCAATGTTTTAGCTGTTGTAGAGGAGAGTAGGAGAGGAAAGAAAAAAGAGAAGCAAGCAACAGCTTGTGTAATTTTATCTGAAGGTGGGAAGAAACACACTGCCCTATTTCCAGTGTTTGCTATGAACAAGCTAAGACAACTTCCTGCTCTAAATGCTGGATTTCATGAATCCCATCACTGGAACTCTGACGTTGCCCCGGGTGTGTTAAGAGAGGTGGTCATTAAGTAGGCTGAAGACTCAATCATGGAGCCTGGTACCTAAAAGTTATGAGATGCTGTGGATGCTGTGGATGCCTTATGCTCTGCAGCTCCATGGCTTAACTGTGTATTTGCACCATGAGCTACCTTCCTCTTCTAGACACTATAATGAGACACTGGCCCAGGGTGCCCAGAGCAGCTGTGGCTGCCCCCTCCCTGGAAGGGTTCAAGGCCAGGTTGGATGGGGCTGGGAGCCCCCTGGGCTGGGGGAAGGGGGCCCTGCCCGGGGCAGGGGGGGGCACTGGGGGGGCTTTGAGGGCCCTTCCAGCCCAAACCAGCCTGTGATTCTACAGTTCTATAATATGAGCACTTGCTATATCTTACATTATGTCTTGGTATTCCTATGTTAGTTTAATTTTACAACCACTGGTACCAATTAGCTATGCAAGCTATAAAGTGATGACAATAATCAAATCTTGTACATTATGGGATGAAGTGATGGTTTACAGCAATCATAAAAGAAACTTTCCCCCATGCGCCAATAATTAGCCAATTGCCTAGAAGAATTTATCTGCCTTTCTTTAATGCTAATCTCAGTAAATGGTTTCTATTTAATAATTTAGCTGAAAAAAAATTTCCTTCCTCTAAAAAGACTTTTATAACAGATTTCTAGGATGTTTTCATTACTTGGGAATAGTTTTGATTTTGCTATCAAATCTTGTTTTGTCTGTTTTTCCCTGCACTGTAAAGTTGATGAATCTTTTGCATCCACTTAGGCGCAAAACTATATCAGCAATTTACTTAATCACTCAGGTCATGTGATACAATCTTTTTCAGGTTGCACAAAGCTAAGCAAACTAGTGTGAATTTGGGGATGTTAAATGAAATGCAATATAACATTTCTCCCATAAGCGACATTTTAAGACTTCAAGATTTACCATGAGTTACCCAATGACAGTTTTTGTTGTATTATAGTTCTTTTCTAAGTAAAATATAAAGGAGCCTACAGATAACTTAGAAACAAGAAGGCAATGTAATTTGAGATAGGGCAACTTCTTGTGAAACTCCTTGACTACTTCTTATCTGCAATCAGAATTTTGTATGGAATTTCATAAGAGTAAAACAGAACTAGGACAACTGGACTGAATCACTAATTAGAACAGATCATTTCAAGATAATTCAAACTCAGACTCTCTTCCCAGGATGCGTAACATCCAATCCATTATGCAACCAAGTACCATGTTTCAAGGTTTAAAACTATTTGATGTGAAGTGATATAAACCTTACTGTCCACTATTACCAAAGAGAAATTCCTAATAGTTCCTGAAAATAGGAAAAACATTTCACTATGAACAAAAGTTACGCTTCCACATATTTTAACTGCTGCTTCTCTGCCACTGATTCATTCTTGCCCTTCTTTCAGTATTTGCTTTCAATGAGGTCAAGAACAATAAGGACGTTTGGAGATTTTAACATCTCTTTTACCCTTGAGTTATGTGCATTTCTTCATAGGAAACAACGAAAATTAACTGGGGAGGGCTCAATATCTATGGGCTGAATGATGATGGAAGGCAGATCTCCAAGAAGGGAAAATTATAATAACTCTGGCTGGTCCAGTTAGAACAAGTGATGGTGAAAAAGATGGCCTGGTTTCTCCTGAGAGTTCTGTCACTGCTCCCAAACAAATAATTTCACTTCTCTGTGTTTAATTTCAGTATTTGTAAAGATTATCAATTTATTAATCAATGGTCCTATCGCCTGGGCATTATGACTCTTAATGTGTTTCTCAAGTTTATTTATATTTCTATCATTTGGTAGTGCCCATTGCTGTTGTTATACGTGGAAGGAGCTGTAGCAAAAATTGTGTTCATGGCAGTAAAGAAGAGAAAGGGTATGAAAATTAAGCTCATAGTTCAGAATTTGGCACACATGCTACATATTTATCCTGGGAACCTCCCAGGTGCCCTTCTTCTGTGTTAGGTACTGTAATGTTTTGACATGCAGAACAGTTTGCATGAGCACTTAATGTGTGAGCTTGGAGACTGAGAGATCTTTAAAGACATCATAAAATCAGAATAGAAACTTTTTCGAAAGATACAGGCTTTAGTATATCAAAAGAGACACTTCTGGTGCCCAGGACAAATCTCTCCATTCCTTTCCTTGCACTCTTGTACTCCTGCGGTGACAGTCATATCCTTTTCTTGAAATGCAGCAGTGTAATAGCTGGGGCGGCCTAGACACGCACAGCTCTCTGTCTCCCTGCCTGCAACTGTTAGAGCTGTGTCCCAGAAATAACAATTTTTAAATGCATGCCTTTTAGGACAACGCAGAACTTTTAACTGCGCTGCTGCATGGTGGAGCTGACATTCAGCAAGTCGGGTATGGAGCTTTGACAGCCCTTCACATCGCCACAATCGCCGGCCACCATAAGGTGTGTTTCTCCTTTTCCGTACTGGGAATTATGTGAGTGCTAATATTAGCAGATCATCTTATTTTAGATGGTTGTCATTCAAAACAAAACTCAGAACTGGTTAAGTAGAGCTTAATTTTACTCATTTTATTAATTAATTATAAATTTATTAATTAATTTTATTTATTTATTTGTACATTTTGGGAAAACCACATCTGTGCATATATTTTCTACATTGAACAAACATGCACAAAGGGCACTGATCTGTTTGGACATCTCTCACCCTTATATAAATGTCTTTAAAGTCTTGGCAGTAAATGGCACTGTTTCCTAAGTATCAGAAGTGTTAATCAATAGATACATGATAAAACACACTCACTCATATATGTCAGGATTTCTGAACCTGGATATGGAGTGAGGCTCCCACATACTGTCTTTCTGAGTGTGAAGGAAGCGCAGTAAAAGAGTTTTATTCCCTCTTTTAGGTGTCACAGGCTCTGCTTCATAGCTCTGTGATTTTCACTTCAGAAAGGGAGAGAGGTTCTCGGTTTAGAGCTATTTTGTACTTTGGATTAGTGCAGAGAAAACTGTTGTCAGGGTAAGTCTAGCGTGAACCTCGAATATCCATATTGATAAGTCTCCTATGGGTTGGAGGCTTATCAATATGGGGAGCAGAGGAAGGAAGAGGGGGATGAGATTCCCCAGATACCCACAATCAGACCCTTCCCTTTCTAGACATGCTGTCAGTCATGAATCTGTTTTCTTATCATTTACCACCTCGGTTCAGTCATTTCACACATCATCTCATTTCTGTCACCCTGGCAACAGCTCATTCGGTGTAATTTATTTATTTTTTTAATCTCTTAAAGTACTGGGTGTGCAAAATTACCTTGGTAATGAAGGGTTTATGACTGCAAACGTACTCATGAATTCAGGTACTTTGCTTTTTATCTCCTTTAGGTCCATTAAGCAAGCAAAGATTTTGTCCTCTACTTGAGTAAAAGTTCTAACTTATATGGTGTGCTGGACTAATTCATGGAGACAGAAACATCATAATTCCTTAAAGAGAGATAATCAGCAAGAAAAGCAAGGAAAAATAACTGAGTACAAAGAAGGACATATAGGTGATATTACTTGCTTTTACACTAGGAATTTAGTTGTGCATCTTAGGCTCATTCAAGTACAAGGGTTTGACTGGATGACTAGAACAAAGTGTTTGTACAGTTTTCAATAGAAAAGAACCTCTATGTATGTTCATGGCAAGACAGTATACTTATCTTGTGAACTCCCAAATTACGACAGGAACTGAACTTACTGAAATAAAGAAAGCCATCTCTTCTGATACATTTTCAGTCAGCCAACTTGTACACACACATACAATTTACATATGCATATAGAAATAGTTACATAATTATATATTGAAAGAGAGAAAAGACTTTTTTTGAAACATGAAGTTTTGTTGGAATTCTTTTTTGTTGGAAATATCTTTAGAAATTTTCTGTACTATCTCAAGAAATCTGCTAACATTTGAATACCTAGTCTGAGAAACCATGAGGCTAGCCACTGCAGTTCAGCTGAGGAAGGGCGATACTTCTTAATTTATGCAGTTTAGATTTTCTTTAATTTATTGTTTCTGTTTAATCTGAAGAAATTATCAGATCTCTGGGTCAGTAACAATATTCTAGAGTTTCTGATTTATTTGGCTTTCAAAGATGCCAGTAGATCCCTACTGGAATTTACAGCCAGGATTTTAATTTCCAATTAATTACGTATCTGAATTACTTTGAAGCTTTTGAAAATTGCACCAGGCACCCTTTGCAAATTTTTGCACTTAGTACCTTTGAGTATTTCACCTTGTGTGTCAACTGCACATATACATAGATAGAGGCAGGACCTAATGACACAATAGCCATCACAGGGCTCAAAATTCTTTGGAGTCTATGGACACTGATGCAAATAACGATACCAACGGTAAAGTAGTCCCTGGGAGAAACAAGCCATGCATTGCAAATACAGCTCTGAACAGCTTGCACACCAGCACTTTTGCAAGTGCAGGTTAAGACCATATACCCTTAGTAAATTTTCTGCTATAGCTTGGCTGCAAAAGGCTGCTTCATTGTGAGAGCGAAGGAGGCAGAGATTTACTGGAGCAGCAGTTATAGCAGTAGTTGGTGTAATGAGTGCATGGTAAATCCCATGATGGGGAAATGTGCCCCCTTCCTCATGGAAATATATGCTATGCTGTTTCACCCTCTGACGGGATATATATGTGGTGTATGTGTATATGTATGTGTATGTGTATGTGCATGTGTATGTGCATGTGTATGTGTATGTGTATGTGCATGTGTATGTGTATGTGCATGTGTATGTGCATGTGCATGTGTATGTGTATGTGCATGTGTATATGACACAGATGGTGACAACCCTGCGTTACCTGAAGAGTCTGCGTGTGTGAAGAAGGTTAAGCTGAAAGAAGGTTAAAAAAAACAACGGTTGATCACACCAAAGAACTCAATTAAAAGCTGTTAACCTTCAGTGTTTCAGTCAGCAGCTCCAACAGGGATCAGGGGACGAATCAGTCTGTAGCATCTGTTTAAGGCAGTGCGTGAGGAGGCTTGCTAGCAGGGAAGCTAACTGTTTATATTCTGAAGGTCAGCTCTCCAGGTGGGAGAACGGGGCTCCTCGCCCAGCAATGAGGCGGAGGGTGAGCAGGGATGGGGGTGTTTGTGTTGTAGCATTACACAGGGCATCACATCGTTCCCTTCAAGTACACAGACAGCTCTTCTTATTAGCTTAATGGAAACCCTTCCTTGTGTATCCTATTACTAAAAAAACAGATAAGGAACCACCATATCTAATTGTTCTGTGCAAGAATTATAATGGAGATATTAACCAGAGCCCGAACTCTTCAATGAGTTTTTTTTTGCTTTCATGGACTGTGTATTTAATGTTTCCTCTGTGGGAAATACAAAGTACTCTTCTCTGCATTGGGGTTTCAAGTAATTTTTAAAATGTCTGAGCCTTGTCCTGCAAATGTCAAAGGAAGGCCTGCTGTTTGTCTCATGTCTTTAGCTCCTGATGAGGTTACTGAAAAGTAAGGGTGCTCAAAATCCAACAAGGATAAGACCATTAACTTGATAAGAAATAACTTATTGTGAGTGGTTTTGAAAAGCCCCTTATCTCTTCCTTGGGAATGATCAGATCTGTATCAGAAGTATTCTCTATAAATGGAGTGGGAATCTATATAACTCATTTGGTTCACCTGCTGGTCTGGGGACCGAAGATTTCTAGTCCAAGTGCAAGCTTTCTCTTTCCTTCTTTATATAGCTTTGAAATTTTCAGTCAGCTTAGAAGCTCCTCTGCTAGATTAAATAGCTTATTTTGTCCACTATTTCATTAATATTAATGGGAATATGGAATAATTTTTTCAAGCCCCCTAAAAAATAGAATAAATTTAAGAAATAAAAAATAGATTTTTGATCATCTTCCTAATTCCAATAAGATAAATAATTATTTACACCATTAAAAAAAGAAATAGCAGAGGAATACACACCAATCTATGCAACACAGTCTTTTCCTATAGAAGAGGACTGACTATACTTAAGACAAAGAGAGAGGACTGTGGAAAAAATTGCTTTGTTCCCCATTTCCCTGAAGAGTCAGCCTATGGCTTTCACTCCATCACCACACCTGAAACTAATAGAGTGATCAGTTCTCTAAAATTAGGTTACTGAAGGCCGTCAGCATCAATGGGATGTTCCAACTCATTTGAGCCAGTGTGGTGTATAAGTATTTCATGTGCCCTATGACTTAGTGCCATATTTTACTTCACCAAAACTGTGCTGTTTGCTTATTTTATCTGCTAATGGAAATTGCAGTTCTCAATGGGAAGAATGAAAAATTGCTGTGAAACTATAAAGCTGATGACCATATTAAAAACATCACCAAATAAGTTTAATAAATCTCTCATTAAGTCTGCTATTTTGAAAACATTAAATGTTTCCAGCCCAGAGTGGTCACTGCTAAATAAATAATGCATGTGGCTCATACACATTTATGTGTTGACCAATATTATCATGTTGGAAAACCAGTATCATTGCCTATTTCATTTTGTAAATGGAAGTTGTCATTCTGAGATCACAACATCTACGGACGTGTGAGCTGGACTGAGGGCTGAAGACAGGATGAATCAGTGCTACTTAATTTTTGCAATCTGCAAACCTAAGAATCTGAAGTGTGAATGTGTTTGTAACAAGGACCAGTTGGGGAAAAGGGAGTCAGTCCCATTTTAGAGATTTAATTTACAAGTCATATGTTACTTCAGCATGTTTGTCACCTCCTGTCTTCACAGCTACTTTATTAGTAATAGGAGTATGTTCAAATGATTTAAGAAGCCTTGAAAAATTACAATTATGTGAGTCTGTTTAAATGGCTCACAAAGTCCTCATTTTCTTCTTTCATTCCCTGCATTTAATGCTAGTGCTGCATATTCCCAGCCCTGTCTTTTCTCTGACATGAATTTCTCAGACCTTTTCAGAATCATTCTAGAACCAGGAGTGCAGAAATGCTATTCACACATCAATAGACGTGACTAGACACACTGCAAGATCATGGGGAATCAAAGAGCCTCAGAATTTGCCTCTCTGTGATGATCCGACCAGTGCTGAAGAGGATTGGAAGTCATGTGTTTTCAATTTAATAGCTACCAACAAACTGTCCAGACTGAATGAAACAAAGGAAACCTTCTACAGACCACGGTGGGAGTACAAGGTGTCCAGCAAACACCGGTGAAAAAGCAATGAGTTCAGCTCAGTACAGGAGCTTACACTAACCTGATGATGCTAACTGGTCTGAAAACAGCAGCAGGCTTTGGCAACACTTTTCTCCAGCTGTACATTCTCCCCAAGAATGTCCTGTGCAGCAAGTTTCTGTGTGACCCATTTTTAAGCTAGAAGAAGTCGAAGTAGATGCAACATTTTAAAATTATAGTATTGTTAAATTTACAGAGATCTCTTCGCCCA